CATACTATGCTATAGAGTTACTTTCACATCTCGAAGCCTCCTTCCTTTGAGATTTCACTAACCCTCATTTACCTAGAAAAATACACACCACATAATTCCTTGTTAATCACACAAAATCTAACTCTTACATAAGACACATCCACTCACACACATTCCAAATAAAATAATACAGCAACACACACAAAAAAATGCTTCAAAGGCAAAAAAGAAGGGAGTCAGTATATAACCCCCAGGAACACTTATAGAAAACATCATATGTTCTAAATTTCTTAAACTGTGATGATACAAACCATAGTAGATATGAATACCAACATAAAACTCAAATACTTTCATCTTCCAAAACACCAGGTATGATTAAAAATCTAGTATCTAGGCAATAATCAGGACCAGTAGATCTCATAACTTGAGGGAGGATGTATGCCTGTGTATCCAAGGGTACCAAATTACAATGGATCCCTTCTAAATGTGTCAGGCCTTATATTAGCCCTCCCCCACAACAGAAACAATCACCAGAAAAAATGAGTGAAGAAATTGGATTTGAAGAAACATAATCAACAATAGTAAAAGGAACACACCACACATTGAGAAACATGCTATAAGAACACAAAAATGGGGGGGAAAGAGATATGGATCTAGTCCCTATATGTGTAAATTTACATTAACACTTCTTCAAAACAGGAACAATCACAAAGAAGCAATAAATGATACAACAGAACCAAAAAAACCCACAAACAGTAACCAATACAAAACCAAAACTCCATGATTCAAACCCAATAAAGGGTTTAAGAATGCATGTGTGAGGAGAGAATGAAACGGTGGTCACCAGAGTATGAATGAGAAAGTTGAGTGGAGATGTATGTGTGTGTGAACGCAAATACACTTTATGGCAAGACATCTTAAACACTCATTCAACAACACTACCTCAACCAACACTACTTCAAACACCACATCTACAACTCAACACATTTCCCTTTCAAATAAAGATGCCTTTACCCAATCATGCAAAATCACCCTCAGATAAAAGGTTCTACACATCTACAAACCCTGGGTAATTTAAGGTTGCTTGAATATTGCACGAACCAATAAAGTTGTAAACAGTTCAATAAAGACCTTGTGACGATAGGCCCTGGTTTTTATAAACAGTTAAGATAAAATTGGTTACATTAAGAATGTTTAAAAAATTTGTTTTACAACTTGTTAATTATTTAGAGAAGGGGGAGATGTGGCAAGGAATTATGAGAGTTGTAGTTTCCTGGGTTCTCACGCATGCTCAATCAGTACTTGATTGTCATTGGTTGGAAGATCATGTGACCTTTAAGCGCTGTATTAAAACCTAAGTGTTTTGTAATAAACCTTAATTCTGCCCTGGCACTTGTTCGTGTCTGAGTGGGGTTCGTGCCTTATACAACACTTCAAATCCTTTTTCTGAAGCGAGTCCCTTCCCCCATCCCCAGCAATGAAGTGGTGAGCCTCAGGGTCCTGGTCAAGCCCCCTCCTGGCTACTGCAAAAATCAACTCTGTACTGGTCGGAACCAGGACAATGTTTTATCCCTAAACATGAGGACTGTATTTTTAAAACAATGCTTCTTTGGTTTCTGCTAATTGCTTTTCCTGGACTTACATATGTAAAGAAACTCTACTTGCAAGCATAAATATATGAGAGGCTCGTATAAAGACTCATAGATAGTGTTTCATAATTCTAGTGTTTTATTACTTGTTCTAAAACAATTTTTGCAGAACACCACAAAATAAACTCTTATCTATTATAATTAAAATCTACAAAATCTGAAATAAATCATGTTGTTAAATGGTTACATATGTTGAGTTTTAAAAATAACCAGTCAACTAGTACATTTCCCTTTTGTAAGAAAATGCTTGAAAATTTTGTTTCTATAGCTCATTAATGAGCTATACTATTTTAATACTACTCAAAAGATCTACTATGGTGATGATTTCATTAGAACTAGGTCAAAACTAAGGTTTTCAGCACAATTTGATCTGAAGTAGCATCAGATGCTTATTTCCTACTTTGGAGACTTACTAATTTTTACTATTTTTATTGTATTCCTCTAAGGTAAACATTAAAATATATGTATTTATTTCAATTTTGAAATCAGTATTATATCTATCATGGAATCAAAGTTAGGACATACAAATATAACAAATTCAAAGTATAAGAAAAGCTCTCTTTCACCTTTACTTATGTTTGCTGTTCATTTCAAAATTAAAACAATCAGAAAGTATAGTCAGCCTAATTTGTCTCTAAAATGTTCTTTTACTACTTATGTACCCTAAAAATTATCACTTATATTTAATTTTCTATGGTTTTTAGCTTTCTTACCATTGAAAAATAAAACATAATATTGTATATTTGAGGACACTGAGAATCCATGCAATACAAGAGAGATTTTACTGTATTTTGAACCACTGCACACTAAAATATGCATATACAAGTAATAAAAACCATCTCTTCCAGGATGGTTGCGCGAGTGTCTCAGTCTGATGAGACTGGAATGTTTGCTAAAGAGGATGAGTTATGAGATAGACCGAACTCCTCTCTCTCAGCAATTGTAAATTCAAAATTAAGGGGTTTCAATAGAGGAAGTGTGGAAAAAACAGAAGAAATAACAACCCTTTATTAAAAGATATATGTATGTTGGCAAAAAAACAGTAACAGAACACAAAAAAACCTAGACGATAGTCCTAGAAAAACAAAAAGTCTGAATGAATACTTCTCTGTCCTTTAGTGCAGTCCTAATCATTGCCTTTAGGGGGCACTGTTGGATCGCTAGAGGTGTTGGACCTGCAGTACTCTGTTGTTGCCTGCAGGGGGCGCTGTTGGATCGCTGAAGGTGTAGGACCTGCAGTTCTCGGTCGTGGTCAGCAGGGGGCACTGTTGGGCTCCGGTAGTCACTACGCGGGGAGAGGGGTCCGGAGGGAGTGGTCCCGGCCCGCGGGAGAAGCCGAGAAGGAACTGGGGGATCCTTCCCTCAGTGGGGGAGAAAGGGAAGGAAGGCAGTCCACTCCCACGGGACTCACCGCTATCCCAGGTGATGGCGTCTCAAAACTCCTCCCTTCTCTCCCGCGGGCAACGCAATTCTCTGATGAAACACAGCAGATCCGGGGAGCGGGACAGCCAGGCAAGTCGGAGCCAGCAGTACGAGCTGACCAGGATGAGAAGCCAAGAAACCAGACCCCCCAGTCCCTCTCCCCAAAATGCCTGCACGCAGCCCCCCGATTCCCTCCGAGAAGCCAACAACGCAGTCTGCTCAGTTCCTCGTCTGGGCGGCCAGCGGCCAGTTCCCCCCAGCCTCTGAATGATCCATTAGCGAGGAATGCAGGCTAGCGAGCTACATCCTTTGTAAAGCTAATGACCTCCCTTCCCCCCATTCACTCAGTTTTTCTTATAGGGAAGCAGGGAAAGAGAAAATTCTGCTCTCAGATTATAACCTATAACAGCGGGATAGACGGCTGTTTTCCGGAGAGGAAAACACCTTTCGTGGGGAAGTAGTCTTTATTGTTAGTTTTACTGTGTGTATAGTGCTTATAGTTCTCTTTTTCTTCTCTGTGTAAATATAAAACCGCCTTTCTCAGCAACCTCGGTTTTGCAAAGTTGTTTTTTTTTCCTATCCCCTCTTCCCTCCTCCTTCTCCCTCTGGGGGGAGGGTTGGGCAGAGTCTCGGTGGACACCGGGCGTTCAGCCAAAGTAAACGATAAAAATTGGGAAGGTAACCAGTTCTATGGGACAGCATATTGCATAGAACAATAGGAACCCTGTATGTGAGGCTGATAAAGCAGAAGCAGAATGTGGTGTGGTAATAACAGAGTATTGGAGCAAATCTGAGCAGACCTAATTCATGTACTAGTAGCTCTCTAGCTGCCTGAACTGCATCAGTAAGATATTAAGTTTGTTTTGATTCAATTATGTATAAAGGATTGTGCAAGATAAGGACCCTCAGACTACTGTGCAGATAAATCTCACTCCAGACTTCTGTTATGTGTATGGTCATGTTCCATTGACTTTAATGGGACCTTCATGATGCCTTTCAGTTTCTTATGTATATAAGATTGATTTTCATAGCTAATCTAAAAGTTCCAGTGGAGACCATGGAAGTTTTTGCCACAGCTTTAATAACCAAGTATGCTAACTCTTTTTCTAGTGGGCAATACCAAAAGATCATCCTGCTCTACCATAATCCTTTTTTTTAGCAGATGAAAAATTTTACCAGAGCTATATAACTCAGAGCAACTGAATTTCTTGAAGATGACATTTAGACAATGCTCAGGGTACAATGGTAAATCCCATTGCTATTTTATCAGAATCCTGCCACGAGAGGGTACATGTGTACCATTCAAGACCAAGCTTAGTCACATATGCATTTTCATTGTTGTTGATCTATAACAAATAGGATTTAACTTAAAATGCTTTGCTTTCCACCCTTTACAAATTGAAGTCTCTTTTCAGTTATGTGTTTACCTTCTTGGCAGTCATATTCTTTCAAGATTAGGTCTTGTTCGTACAAGGCAAAGGTAGTTGAACAAAACACAAGAGCACTTGCTTGATACTATTTACCTCATCATCAGGATCACAAAAGAGAAAGGGAAAAAGTAAAAAAAAAAAGGGGGAAAGGGAAAGACAAGGGAAAAGGAAAAAAATAGGAAAACATGTTCAAGGGCATTGCAATTTTTATGAATTGCATAGAGGTCTACCCTTGATTGCAGTTCCCTAGTATAAACTTAATGTAAGATTTCAAATTATCATAGGCTTATGTTTTGGGAAACAAACACACTACCTTCCTTAGAGTAGCCTTTGCATTCACGTTATTAAGTGCATGTTTGTGCTGAATATGTATGCACACACAGATACTTGTACACACACACACAAAAAGCTGTACATGTATGTACACAAAAATAGAGTATACAAAGATAAAAAGTAAGAATTAATTTGTTAGAAAGAACAGAAAATAAGATACAGTTGTTTGTAACCACTTTATACTTACTATTTTGTTGAATCTGATAACTGATATTCTCGTCGTCTGTCATAACATTCCTGGATTCCAGGGTCATTCCATAAACTTCTCAGTGCATCTACATAAGGGTTCTCAAAAGTTGACACCTTCTCTACATCGACTTCTCGAACTAACTGTGCACGAGCCTAATTTAAAACAAAGAAAACAATTAAATTTACTTCATTTTCTATGTTTACAAATAGATCATATATTGTGAATGTGATTACCAGGAATAATTTTCCAGACTGGCCATCTCACCAATGTGAGGTTATGAATGAATGATGTTAAGGTGTGTTCAGACTAAGAAAAATAGTAATAGGGATGATATGAAAGTGAATTAATAAATGAGTATACGGGTCCTTATTTCAGAATAAGCTTATCCTAATCCAGTATCATTTAGCTGAAATTGATAAAATGTTCACATGAAAATTTATATTTAATTAAGCTAATTTTAAAGAAAGTTTTCATTTTTCAGGTACAATTTTAGGGCATATACTTGCTTTTTAAATGATAACCACTTAAACACCTTGGCAGAGTAAGACTGATGGTACCAAAAAGAATGGAAAGGAGTGAGAAAATTTGTCTTTTAAAGAGATTCATTTATATATACATACATTAAGAGAGAAAAAGAACAGATGAAAACAGTCAGAAAAAAAGAACAAGGGATTCTATTCTCCAAACTAGTCTACATTTCAGACTAGACACATATCAGCAAGGACACAAAGCCCTTTGCATTTTAAATCAGGTAAGTGCATACAAAAGGGACTGGTTTTGTTATTTTTAAAGTAATTTATCCTGTTTACACACATACAACCTGTCACCCCTCTTATTAGACAGTCCAGGAGAATGCTACTACTCATTATTGAACAAAATTTTATACCTGCAACTATTGTCTATTCGTGTGGACATCAAGAACCTTAAGTTCAACGTGAAAAATGTTTGTCTTCAAGATATGGAGAACATATGCTCTCTATTATAAGAACCCAAGTCTCTAAGTTCTAACAAAGTATATTTTCTTCTGTAACATCATGTTCACCCATCCCAAAACTGGACAGATCATGAAGGGTCTGTACTCATTATCATCATGGTTAGGCTTCGCAAATGAAGATTTGAGAAGGATTCTATCCACGCTTGATACAAGCGGGCTGATGGCTAAAAAGGCCAATGCAAGATAGACAAGTCTGGTTGCAAAAGGCACAGCGGAATGTCTCCTTAGATGGTATTGGCAAGACATGATTCTTTCTACATTGTCTTTTCTCCTCAAGAATGATTCTACATGTGTTCTCGAAAGAAGTAGCAGCGTTATAGATAGTGTATCTTCATGTCTCCCGATTGGAGGCCAGAGTAAACCAATGATGATGATCAATATGGCCAAAGCTGAGATATTGTTTCAGGGAGTCCTTATATCTCCTCTTCTGGGCTCCTCTCTTGTGGCAACCAGTGGCAAGTTCACCATAGAGCACAGTCTTAGGGAGGCGTGTCGTAGTTTGGTCTAGGCCTTCCTTGGTGACCAGTTTGTAGCCAAGGAAGTTCCCAGATTTACCCAGTATTCCCTATGATTTTTACGTAAGCCAGGGTATAAGAAGAAAGGAGGAGAGGCCTTCGCTCTCTCTTTCCTTCCGGCGGTTTTGGAGGTGCAGGTTTCCCTGCTGTTGAGTCTGTCGGGTTGGAGAGTGAGGCCTGGTAAGGTCTTGCCGACCTTGGGAGGCAGAGTTTGCCGGCAGTTGCTCCAGCATGACTCTCTGTTGTCCCAAGGAGAGTAGTAAGATATTCTTTGCTAATTCTTTTAGTTGCTAGATCTTGGGCTATTGATCAGGATATATATATTTTATTTTGGTTTGGTTCCTTTTTTTTTCCCTTCCCCCTTCCCTTTCCCATTTCCTTGTGAAATTGTATATATATTTCAATTGTATATAACTGTAATATAAGTGTAAATATATTTGTATATATTGCTTTAGCTGTCTCTCTCTCGTTTCGGTTTTTCTTGGTTGGTTTTTTTTTTTCCCTCTTCTCCCTGAGGTTTGGGGGGGGAAGACTTCTTGTGGTAAGGTTTGGAGACTTGGCAGGGAGCCAGTTTCAAACCATATCAGGCCGTAGTCCTCCATCCTGGAGACGTGTCCTGCCCAACGCAGCTCTGTTCTCAGCAACATGGCCTCAATACTTGTGACTGCTGCTTGTTTTAGAACAGACGTATTGGTCACATAATCTGACCAGTGGATGTTTAGGATTGTACGGAGACAGCGTTGATGGAAGCGTTCTAGGAGTCGCAGGTGGTGGCGGCAAATGACCCATGCTTCAGACCCATATAAAAGACTAGACAGTACAATGGCTCTGTAAACACGGATCTTTGCACTTTTCTTCAGGTGTTTATTTCACCAAAATCTTTTATGGAGTTTTCGAAAAGCTCTATACGCCTTTGTTAACCTGTTGTCTATCTCTCCGTCAATCTTACCATCTGAGGAGATGATGTTTCCCAGATAATTAAACTGCTGGACTGACTTGAGTTCTGATTTGCCAATGATGATGTGGGGATGATGGAAGACTTCCTGAGGTGCAGGTTGGTAGAAAACTTCTGTCTTTTTTAAGCTGACTTCCAGCCCAAAAAGCTCAGCAGCGTCTGCAAAGCAGGATGTTAAACGCTGTAGAACTGCTTCTGTGTGGGCGACAAGGTCTTAATATGGGCCTTCAGTTGCCTTAGGTCGAATAGGCTTCCATCAGTACGATATCGAATGTAGATACCATCCTGATCATCAAAAGTCTGCCGTGGCCCTTTGGAGCATCATGTTGAAAAAGACTGTGAATAGGGTTGGCGCAAGAACATAGCCTTGTTTCACACCATTAGTTATCAGAAAGGGCTCAGAAAGTGTGTTGCCATATCTGACTTGGTCGTGTTGATCCTCATGGAGTGAGATGATCATTTTGAGGAACTTGGGGGGACATCCTAAATGTTCCAAAATCTGCCATAGACCTTGTCTGCTCACAGTATGGAAAGCCTTGGTGAGGTCGACAAAGGTTACATAGAGACCTTTGTTCTGTTCCCTACACTTCTCTTGCAGTTGTCTGAGGACAAATACCATGTCTGTGGTGCTCCTGTTGACTCTGAAACCACATTGGCTTTTGGGTAGAATTCCTTCTGCTATAGTGGGTATTATCATAGAATCATAGAATCATAGAATAGATTGGGTTGGAAAAGACCTCCAAGATCATCAAGTCCAACCCCTGATCCAACTCCAATTACTATATCATGGCACTAAGGGCCACGTCCAATCTCTTTTTAAAAACCTCTAGGGATGGTGAATCCACCACCTCTCTGGGTAGGCCGTTCCAATGCCTGATAACCCTCTCTGTAAAGAATTTCTTCCTAACATCTAACCTAAACCTCCCCTGGCAGAGCTTGAGCCCATGTCCCCTTGTCCTATTGTTGGTTGCCTGGGAGAAGAGACCGACCCCCACCTGGTTATAACATCCCTTCAGGTAGTTGAAGAGAGTGATGAGGTCGCCTCTAAGCCTTCTCTTCTCCAGACTGAACAACCCCAGCTCCCTCAGCCTCTCCCCATAGGACTTGTGCTCCAGTCCCTTCACCAGCCTCGTTGCTCTTCTCTGGACCCGCTCCAGCACCTCAATATCCTTCCTGAACTGAGGGGCCCAGAGCTGAACACAATACTCAAGGTGTGGCCTCACCAATGCAGAGTACAGGGGAAGGATCACTTCCCTGCTCCTGCTGGCCACACTGTTCTTGATGCAGGCCAGGATGCCATTGGCCTTCTTGGCCACCTGGGCACACTGCTGGCTCATGTTCAGCCTCCTGTCGATCAGCACCCCCAGGTCCCTTTCCGCCTGGCTGCTCTCCAGTCACTCTGTCCCCAGCCTGTAGCGCTGCAGGGGGTTGTTGTGGCCAAAGTGCAGGACCCGGCACTTGGCCTTGTTGAACTTCATTCCATTGGAGTCAGCCCATCTCTCCAGTCTATCCAGATCCCTCTGCAGAGCCCTCCTGCCTTCCAGCAGGTCGACACTCCCTCCCAATTTGGTGTCATCAGCAAATTTGCTGATGATGGACTCAATCCCCTCATCTAAATCATCAATAAAGATGTTAAAAAGGACTGGACCCAACACAGACCCCTGGGGAACACCACTGGTGACCGGCCGCCAACTGGATGCAGCCCCGTTCACCAGCACTCTCTGGGCCCGACCCTTGAGTCAGTTCCTGACCCAGCACAGAATGCCCCTGTCCAAGCCATGGGCTGCCAGCTTTTCCAGGAGTAGTTCAAAAGTATTCTTGCCAGGATTTTGCCAGCAATGGAGAGCAGAGTAATACCACGGTAATTTGAACAGTCTGATTTATCTCCTTTCTTCTTATACAAAGTGATGATGACTGCGTCACGAAGGTCTGATGGTAGTTCGCCTAGTTCCCAACAAAGCACCACGAACTCATGAAATTTATCATGGAGTGCTAGGCCCCCATGTTTCCAGACTTCAGGTAGAATTCCATCAACCCCATCTGCCTTGCCAATTTTCACCTGCCGTATGGTTTTAAGAGTTTCTCCCAAAGTGGGGGCAATATCCAATTCATTCTTCACCGGTTGTTGTGTGATGGACCGAATTGCTGAGTCTTGGACTACACGGCTAGTACTGAAAAGAGTCTGAAAGTGTTCAGACCATTGATTCACAATGGAGGTTTTATCTGTCAGAAACGTTTGACCATCTGCGCTGAGTAGAGGGCTTTGGACCTGGTATGTAGGCCCGTATGCTGTTTTCAAGGTCTCATAGTATCCTCTGTGATCACCCGTATCTGCACATAATTGAGTTTTTCCTGCTAGATTGATCCACCACTTGTTCTGGATGTCACGGAGTTTCTGTTGGAGTTTGCTGCATGCAAGACAAAAGGCTGTTTTTCTGACGTGACAGGAAGGCAGTGCAAGGTGTGCTTGGTGAGTAGATCTCTTCTTCCTTAACAATTCCTGGATCTCTTGATTGTTTTCATCAAACCAGTCCTTGTTCTTCTTGAAGGAGAACCCCAAGGATTCTTCAGAGGATTGCAGGATGCTGTTTTTAATATGGTGCCATAGTGTTTCAGGAGAGGGATCTATAGAATCTATAGAATGATTTTTGAGCCTAGTTTGAAGATTTGCCTGGAATCTGTCTTTCA